AAGTGGTCTGTCCAATAAGTCTTAATTGTCCAATAAGAAGTATGTGTCTGTGTGTGCTTACATCTCTGTGCCCGCCCATGCGGGTGTGTGAGTTAAAGTCCACACACCTTAAAGTTGCCAAATTTGAGAAACACTGATCTAAACTATTCATTTCAAAGAGATCCAGTATATTTCCTATTTTTTAAACTCTTGGAATGCTGGACCACAAAATTACTTCAGCAAGAAGAAAATGTAGGAAAAGGTAGGAAATGCAAACTAATCAAAACTTTGGTCCTGGAGAAAGTTTTAAACAATGGTGGGTGGGTGGGGGAGGGGGGGAGAAATAGAGCAATTTGGAATCATTTAGTGTAATACACCAGATGTCTGTATTTGGTACATTTGGCATATTAAAGAGATGGTGAGGACTGTAGTAAATTGGACACAATGATAAACTTTTAAAATAATGGTTATGACTCAGAAAAAGATAAAGCGCTCCATACGTACCCGAGACCCATCAGGCACAGATTCAGTCCCAGCATTGTTTTTTAAAATTCCTCAAAGCTTTTAACAAAAGTTAAAGTTAAAAGCTCTAAGACATTTGACATTACAGCTGATTAGCTTTTCAGTGTATTACCATTTGTGAGTTTTTATGTCTCTCAGCAATAAAAAGTCATGAAGTAAGTTGAAATTTGTTGCAGTGAAAAGTGATAATATTCAGTGAATTGAAAAAGGATGGAAATCAATACCTTATATGGCAAGTAGAGAAGCAGACGTCGGGGGTATATGTGTGTGTTGTGTTTGTGAGGCTTTCTACTAGAAAAAGATTAAGTTCAGTAATACAATTACAAAATAAGTGCTTATAAATATTGTTCCCTAACAAACAATTTTAGGCCATTTTATAAAGAACAAAATCCATATGGTGGTTAAAGCTTTGAACTAGGTCTAGCTTCAAGTCCATCCTCAGCCACAGAAACTCCCCTGAACAATTTTGAGCCAGGCACTCTCTCTTAGCCCTATTTGATACACAGTGCTGTGGGGATAAAATAAATATTTATTTATTTGGATTTAAAGGCTGCTTAACCAGGGGTGGGATTCAAAATTTTTAACAACTGGTTCTGTGGGCGTGGCTTGGTGGTCATGTGACTGGGTGGACATGGCTTGGTGGTCATGTTATTGGCTGGGCGTGGCCAACTCAATATCACTCACATTGAGGCATGCATCTCCTCGCTTGGCCTCTCATGACTATGGGGATGCTGCAACAGTCGTAAGTGTGAAAAATGGTCATGTCACTTTTTCAGTGCCATTGTAACTTTGAATGGTCACTCCACACAAGTAAAATGCCATCAAAGGAGGGGAAAAAAACTCCAGAGAAGTTCCTGAGACAGGAAGACTAGTCCTGCCAAGAATGTAATAAGGGTTAACGGAGAGGCAGTTTCTGTAAGCAACACCAGAATGTTTCCTTCCTGCCTTCCTTACAGGATTAGTCCAGTAATTTCTTCTAACAACCGGTTCTCCGAACTTGTTGGAATGTTAACAACCGGTTCTAGCGAATAGATGCGAACTGGTAGAATCCCACCCCTGTGCTTAACTCCCAAATGACTCTGGGTGGGTTACATTTTAAAGGTAGGTTGCAAGGGAATGAGAAAGAAAATGTATGTCCATAGCAATAGCACTTAGACTTATATACTGCTTTCAGCCCTCTCTAAGTGGTTTTACAGTGTCATGTGCCCCCAACAATCTGGGTCTTCATTTTACCCACCTTGTAAGGATGGAAGGCTGAGTTAACCTTGAGCCTGGTGGGATTTGAACTGCCAAATTGCAGGCAGCTGGTAGTCAGCAGAAGTGGCCTGCAATACTGCACTCTAACCATTGCACCACTGAGGTGCCGAACATATATAACATAAAACAACATATTCAAAAAAAGTATTGATACTCCAAAAAAGTAAAACATTTAGCAGCCATCCTAACCCCAGGCCTGAGAACAATTGCAGGGTGGGACCCAAAGACCTATTTCCTAGGTCCTAATAAGTAACATTGTTTAATTGAAGGGGCCTGGAGCACACCTATTCTGTCTGAAATTACAGTGCAGGTAGAAACTACCAGACAAATAAATAGTCACCAATAGTTATTATATAAACAGCAATATCTTGAATTATACTGTTGGAAGAAATATCCTTCTGGGTTCAGTTCCAAGTGGGGAAAAAGACACTGGAAACATGGAGGCTCTTTGGAAAGTTTAATGGTGGACAGCAGGACCACATGGCTTGGAGCTCCAGGGTGAAAAGGAAGGATGATCACATGCTTCAAGAAAGAGATCAAGAAAAAAAAAAAGACTGATATACTGAGAGTGCCTGGGTTTTATAACCTTTGTTGGGATTTGAATTTGGATTTGTATTCTGATTGGTTGTCAGACTCCCATGGGGCCATGCAGGGGCAACTCTGTAGGCTGTCCTGAGTTCCAGGCTTGGTTGAGCCTTGCTAGATGATGCACTGAAAAGGGCTTTTGAGCAATTGCTATAGCTTTACCTGGAGATCTTTGTTATGTAAAGTATTCTGGCCCAGGCCTTCATGGCTCACCCATTAACAAAGGTGGGGGTGAGTTTCTATTTCTGAGGTGAGTTTCTGCTTCTGAGTTTCTAATCTTTTTAGGGGAAACATTCTGCCTTTTTAATATGTCCTAGGATATTTCAATTTTCTAGGAGAGGGGTGGGTGCTAACTTCCTGCAATACTAAGAAGCAACCAGTGGAACTCATGAAGCACTGGTGACATATATGTGCTACTGCAGTGCTTTCCAACTTGTGGGCCACAGACCCTGTGGGGGGCACAATGTCATTACAGGGATCCTGCAAAGGCTTGCAGAAATGTTATGACTTAAATCTCGAGTTAAGTCTTGGGGTCTGTGGCCATGGTCCATGGCCACAAAAGTTATTTAAAGGCGGGGTCCATGGTGAAAGAGAGGTTGAGAACTACAGGGCTACTGCATTCTGGACTAGCTGTATCCTCAAGGGCAGCCCCATTATAATGCAGTAGTCCATTTGTGATATATCTACAGCATGAGTGACTATTTAAAGAGACTTCTGCTTTAAGAACGGCTGCAACTGGTGCATTGGAGGGATCTGGTGTAAGCTGCCTTGAGGATTAGTAAAATAGAAATTCTAACAAATATAAGTATATAAAACGAGTAAGTTGCTGTATTGGTGCTGCTGCAGAACTCTTTGTTGCACACATTGCCATCTAGATTTATTGAAATATGGGATTGATGATTGATAATACAAATTTAGGACTTCTGTCAAATGTAGAAAAGTGCCACTCTAAAAATGTACTGTTCACCAAGGGAAATCCTTTCCGCATAGTTCATAGCATAGCAAATATACAAAGTATCTCAAAAAAACACACCCTATTTTCAGCTCAGTTAAAAAAAAAAACACTTGGAAATGAGGTGTAAGCCTTTGTTTCTCTGAGAAAATAGATCTACAATGACTCAATTGAGACATTTACCTCTGATCTTCATTCATGTTTCAACACAGCTGCTTCCTTATTTAGTGATTTAAAATGTTTATAATGTGCCCCACATCACTGAATTCCAGAGGAAGGTGCAAGGAAAACAAATTAGTCAATCAAGCAATAAAACTTAGATTTATATAAGGGGCTTGCCTGAAATGAATGCGGTTAAAAGCAAAACAGAAGCCAGTTTAACCATTCCCTCACCCCCTTGATAGGAACTCCAAAATAGTTTGCTACCAGATTAGCAAATGACATCCAAACCCCATTTTCTAGTCAAGGTGCACAACAGTCAACCTGCTTTAGTAGGGTAGTTTTGGAAGAAATATCCAGGTCCACTTCCAAGCCAGGAGAAAGGCATTGGAGACAAAATGGAGGCTGGAGACTGATTGGAAAGAGGGTCCATTTATTGATGAAGCAGAACTACCAAGCACGTGTGATTCAGGGTAGCTGACCACATGGAGTTGAGAGTGGGGGGTATTTATACCTTTTCTTGGGCTTTGCACTTGAACTTTCTGTTCCTGTTCAAGAACATATATTCTATTGGCTGTTGTCAGACTCCCATGGGGCCAGGTACAAATCCTAGGAGTTTGTCTGAGCTAAGTTTGGTTGAAGTTTGAACTGCTGGGGATGATGCAACGAAGGAGCTTTGGGCAATTTCTATTGTGGCTGAGGGCTAATCCTACCTTTGTTGGATCTTGGGTGAGGGTATTTGCTTATGAGTAGAGCTAGCTATCTCTCTATCTCTTAAGTGCTGACATCTGCTGTGGGCTACTAAGAAAGGTGGGGGCTGCTTTCCAAGACCATCTCTCTCCATTTCTCATCCAGGGAAATATAATATTCTGCCTTTTAAATATTTCTCAAAATATTTCATTCTTCTAGGAGTAGGGTGGGTGCTAACTTTGTACAGTAGCCAATCCAAGAAATATAAAAACACAAGAATGCAAACCCAATAGCAACACAATTAAAAAAAAAAAAAGACCTCTGGCTGACATTCAAACCAGCTACCTCACTCTGCCTGTTAAGATTCTCACCTTGCTCCATCGATATCGTTAACATTCCCCTCAGGCTTAAAAGCCACTTGTCACATCGAAAATGTATGGTGGGAAGGGACGTGATGCTTCCTAAATTGTACAAGAAATGAAATCCCAGAAAGGGAGGAAGAGTTAGAAACAAGGAAAAAAAGAACTGTTACTGTCCTTATATATGCCCTCTATATATTTGCACATTTTCAGGCACATCTATGCATAACAATGCATAGCCAAGCGACAGGAGAATCAGTCTCTGCTGAGTGAGATCTCAGCCCACTTCTGATCTTTAATAGTTTCCTGAGAATGGGACTGAAGGAATGGCCTAGGGCGACACCTAAGGGCCAAAAGAAATTCTGCATGAAAACAATACAGAATCCGTATATTTTATCCATGAATGACTGTGAAGAGCTGACAGCAAGCTTTGCTGCTCCTCCTCCTCCTTCTCGCGCTCCTCCTCTCTGTCCTCCTGCATTCATTTGAGAGCAAACTTGTGGAGCTGCTAAATGTGTCACAAGGGCAAAAAGAATTCACCTGACGTTCTTGGACCTTCCCAGATGGATAAGACTAGCTTCTAATATTTCTTTCTAGAGAGTGGGAAAAAGGGAGAGAACTCTTTGGTTCAGGAATTGCTAAAAGAAAAGAAAAAAATGTGAGCTAAAGGTAAGAAGAATTTCTCTGTAACTCTGAAAGGCACTTTGAGGCAAGGCATGCTGGTGTGTTTGTTAATTGTGCTATCCCTCGAGTTTTCATTTAATTGTAGTCTGGCTTTCCACATCTATATTTAGACTGATGCAGAGCTGTCCGTATACAAGGAGGAACTGGGATAAATACTGCAGCTGAAAAGAAAAAAGACCTGGAGAACTAATAAGCAAGTCTTGACTGTTGTTTTGAAGTAAACGGGAACAAGCCATTGAAATTACACTCCTGAATTTGAATGAATGCCTTGTGAGGGAGTAGAAAGCTGAGGTTGTCAGAGATTCAAAATGTGACTATGTGGCTCTCAATGTTGGTATAATTCCTTATTTATTTTTTCCCCCCATTTTTTTTTTTTGCTATAGGAGGAACAAACGAAGAGATTTGGAAAAAGAGCAGGATTTATCCTGCAGGTGAAAAAAAACTCATAACTATACATCAATTGCATGTAACAAATCCAGGTGAAGGATCCAAAGCGAAAGGGAGTAAACTTTTTTGGGGGGGAAATAAAAAATAAAGAGGCAAAGGGCCAAATGGGAGCAAAGGGGCCGCCAGGAAAAAGAAGCACTGAAAGGCCTGGTCCCAAGAAAGGGGAGGGTCTAAAGGACACACTGCACTGAAGGTGTCTCTCTCTTCTCAGTTCAGTCTTGCAAAAGATTCTGAGTGGGAAGCATCTACCATGGATCATCTTTGGTATTGTTCAAATTGTTCCTTGGGCAATGCCACCCTGGACAACCAGACTTCACAAGCCAACCAAACTTCAGTCATAAAACGGAACGAGGACATTGCCAAGGTAGAGGTGGCGGTGCTGTGCCTCATCTTTTTCCTTGCCCTGACAGGAAACTTATGTGTGCTGCTGGCGATCTACACAACGCGCCACAAACATTCCCGCATGTACTTCTTTATGAAGCACCTGAGCATTGCTGACCTAGTTGTGGCCCTCTTCCAGGTCTTGCCTCAGCTGATTTGGGACATCACCTTCAGGTTCAAAGGGCCAGATTATCTCTGCAGGTTGATCAAATATCTGCAAGTGGTGGGGATGTTTGCTTCCACCTACATGCTGTTGCTGATGTCGCTGGATCGGTGTTTGGCCATCTGTCAGCCCTTGAGGTCTTTACATCGGAGGTCTGACCGGTTGTCTGTGCTCCTCACATGGGTGGTATGCCTCCTCTTCAGCATCCCGCAGCTCCAGATATTTTCTATGAAGAGCGTGGCCCATGGGGGGATGGATTGCTGGGCGACATTCATTCAGCCGTGGGGTCCTAGAGCCTATGTCACCTGGATGACCTTGACTGTCTACATCATCCCAGTGATTGTGCTAAGTATCTGCTATGGCTTGATCAGCTTCAAAATTTGGCAAAATGTGAAGCTAAAAACCGTCCATGAAACAAGTGTGAGCCTAACCTCTAGCAATTCTCACGGAGGCACACTCTCCAGGGTGAGCAGCATCAAACTCATTTCCAAAGCCAAGATACGGACAGTCAAAATGACCTTTATTATTGTCTTAGCCTTCATCATGTGCTGGACTCCTTATTTTATTGTACAGATGTGGCTTGCATGGGATGAAAATGCTCCAAAAGAAGGTATGGTTCATTCTCCTTTTTTATACCTGCCTATGTAGCTTTGTGCAGAAATTTGCCTCACTGCAATTTCTTTAAAATATACCTTATAACTGAACTATTATCTGTAGAGCTGATTGTGGCATTCAACAAAGATTTAGTAAATGTGCAGATTAAAAAAATGAAATATTAGTCAAATGAAAAAAGATCGGTTCATTGGCTAGGAGGATAGAACAGGTAAAATCTAAAAAGTGATTTGAAACCTTAGATGTTATTTGTGTGACCTTGGATAAATTGATAAATATCTCTGCCCACAATTGTCTTGTGATAACACAGAGAACTTGGGTGCTTTTATTAGGAAGCTGTAAATCTGGAGGAATATTTGGCATAGAAATGTCAGGTGTTTTTTCTTACTAAACCACATCAAATAATTTTCTGTTAATCTCAGTGAGAGCACATGAAAGATAATGTTTATATAAATTGATGTGAGCAAATAGGAAATTGCTTTTACAAGTAGGATGGAAGTGCCACTGTAGCTATAATCTTTTTCACTGAAGGAGCTCAACACTGTCATTTTGACTTTATTCCATAAATTGGCTGATTTCTATATGCTAGTTCAGAAATGAAGGAAGCAGAGGAATTTTGTGAATGAGTTGTGCAGAGACTATCATTGACTGGGGAGTTGGGAGCTTGATGCAGAGAAGCACCAACCAAATGCACTATTTATGTTAGGAATGGCTAATATTGAGAAGGGCTAAAGACTAAATCACACTAATAGAATCATTTATAAAAAGTTTAATTATCTAAAAATGCTTCCCATTTGCCTAAAATTAATTGTATAATAATCTCTTAGCAGAAAGGACTTGAAATATGATATTGGATATGATGTTACTTTCTGATTTGCTCTGCCCTTTTTTTCTGTTTCTTTGAAGAAGTGGATTGTCATCACTGGGTACTTGAGATATCCCAAAGTTCTCTGCTCTTTTATTTGTCCCAGAACTGGAAATCTTCACTTTTTCCTCTGAGAAATAACAAACTAAAGGATGCCCTACTAAGGCTTTGGCTGCTGGTATCAACAATGTGTCATTCAAAATAAGAGCTATGTGGCAAAGACATACTTTTCAGCATACTCTTTAATATCTAAATGGTTGAAATCACCTTTCCATATACATTTATCCACCACCAATGTCCAGTCTACAGAGAAGATGCTGAAGTCTATCAGCTGGCTCACAAATGAGCTCATATTATTATTATTATTATTATTATTATTATTATTATTATTATTATTATTTTGGGGAAATACTCAGGCTGTCACTGCCCCCATCACTCCAAAAACATATAACTGAAGTGTGAGAAAACTTGGACAGATCTCATTGTGGTCTGGAGGTTGAATGTGTATTTTGCTGAACAAACTGTACATCTCGTTTGGGATGTTTCAATGTGGAAAATCCATTAGTAGTTGCAGCAAAAGAGTCTTATAATGTACCAATAGAAGAGAATATTTGTAGCTCAGGGTTGAACTGTGGAGTCTTTAGTGCACTCTGAGTTTGATGGTTTTCTTGCAGATGCGTCATTACAAAAACCAGGTAACATCATCAGTGAAACCGGGTAGCATCAGTGCTAGTCTCTGTGCAAGAAAACAGAGAGCACCAAGACCCCATAGGTCTTATATGGCTAGAACTTTAAATGCAAGTTCCACTCATATCTGTTCAGAAAAGAAATATTTGCAAAACAAATGTTTAGCCATAGTAACTGGGGGGAAAAACCAAAAATGAAATAGAACAATTGAGACTTGGCAAAGTAATTAAATTTGGTTAGACCTGTTAAAAGTTAGATAAAAGTTAGATGACTCTGGATGATTGATAGCTGAGTTACCTTTGTGTTAGAGAGGAGCCATTAAGTTCCTTCCAGCGCCATTATTTTTTTTAAACTTTAGTAACGTCAAAGTTACATTCATGCTCTGAATGCCCAGCTACCATCGTACAATTCAAATGGGTGGTGTTCACTCATCTCTCTCCAACTTCAAATACCTTACTCCTTCTTTTCCCACAAAAGATAATTTTGAGATAATGCATTTTTTTTCAGTAGAAGCATAAAGGATGAGCTTGCTTAGCCATTTTCCCTCTTCCTATTTTCCTATTTCAATTATCCTTCCCCAGCTGGGAGGAGGAAATATCTTTTTTGGGCTAACAGTCCTGGTGTTGTATAATAAGGATGCAGAGAACCCAGATTTGTCTTCCTGTTCTGACTGCCACTTTCTTTAATCAGATCCTTTCTCTCAGCCTAACTTCTGTTCGTGGTCCTGTTGTACTTATCAGCTCAGTACATGAGGAAAGTCATTACTATCTCAATGAAAAGTCTTAAGAATAAAATAGTCTCTCGGCACAAATCAAAAATATATTAATGATTGTAAATCATTCCACCAGTCATACAAGAATTCAGGAACTGAATCTGTTGCTCTGTCCAAGCAACTGCAGACTTAAGTTTGCTGAGTGGAGCAACTGTGACAAAAATATCTTTCCTTTAGTACTCTTCCACTAGGCTAGTTTAAGCCCAGCCACTAAGATTCTAACTTTGATGTAAGTATGACAGCCTTGTGGTAGCTTCTTACTATAGTCAGTTTGGACTACTGGTTAAGACACCAGGTGAGAAATCAGGAGACTGTGAATTCTAGTTTTGCCTTAAGTGTGAAAGTTGACTGGGTGGCTAAAACAAAGCACAAATTTAAATCAGAAAAAAAAACCCTAGGCTATGATTCTTGGGCTGTGGGGAATGGATAAAAGTAGTACATGATGTCAAAGCAACTTTTAACTAGCCAACTTCAGATGCAGCCAGAACTCATTTAATGGGGAGTAAACTCATCTTAAGAATGTGGGACTGTCTTTGAAGTAAAGCATGTGCTGTTCATTTCATGCAAGGATTATTAATAAAGCAAATACTAACAACTCCCAGCCCAACTCATCTCAAAGGGTGGCTGTGGAGAAAATAGGAGAAGGAAACAGCATTAGGTGTTTGCCTCCTTGAGGTATTTATAAATATAATAAAGGTGGGATTAAAATAATTGAACTGTAATCTGGTCAACTCTTATTTCTGTTTTTCTTTTGTCCTTTGTCAGTCAGAGAAATGTTTCCAAGATGGGCATATTTCTTTCACTTCAGTCATCGTTGAAAGCTTGAAGATTTTTTATTTCCACCAAAACTGCTAGGCTGTGTGAATGTGGGGCCCCCTTGTGCTTTAGCAGACCAGGAAGACTTTTAAGAAAAAAATATTGTGAAGTTTGCAAAGTTTGGTATGTCCTCTAGCCCATCAACTTGACCGTAGTAATTTCACTTTGTTCACAAAGCAGTGAGACAAAATGAAATGTGTAGAAGACGGGAGATAGCAAAAGCGGAACAAGAGAAAAGAGGAGCTGTGGGAGTGTACAAAGTGTCTCACAGCAGAGATAACCACAAATGAAAAGTGAAGAAAAATTCATCTGGGAATTGGCCTGATAAAGAATATGAGGAGCTTCCCAAAATTTCATTATACATTGCACGGACAATGTTCCTTGCTTTCAGGGCCATGGAGATTATCTTACTTTTGATATGGGCCTTTATTTGCCAAAGACCATAAAAGAGTTTCCAAAAATAATATTTCTTTGTAACACTTTGCCTGCCAAAATATTACAAGCGCTCAAAGGGCTAGAGAGATTAGACTTGTCTTTGAATTTGCAGTAGAGATGGGTAGAGACCCTTACTTTCATAGTCCTTAAGGGAATTAGGAACTAACATCTATTTCAGAAAAGTTGTAGCCAATAAAATGCAAAGGCATCATAACTGACGATAGATCGCGTGAAGAGTTTGATATTAAATGTGGCAAATGCCTCATTTTCAGAATGATCTGGTAAACATGTTTGTCCACCGTAGAGTGAAATAAACAATGACCATCTTAAAGAAGGGATGTTTATAGTTTAGATAAGGGGTAAGCAAATAAGAATACAGTTCCGATACTGACATTCTTGTTCTAGACTTGACCATAGTCTTCCCCAACTCAATGCCCTTCAGATGTGTTGAGTCAATATGTTCTAGAAATCCCAGAGTGTTTAATGGACTGTCAAACCTAAGGGAGTAGATTGTTTATTTGTATCTCACCTTTATTATTTTTATAAATAATTCAAGGCTGCAAACATATTCAATTCATATACGCCATCCTCCTATTTTCCCCATAACAATAAGCCTGAAGTGGTTGGGCTGAGAAAGAATGACTGGCCCAAAGTCACCCAACTGGCTATCATGGCTAGAGCGGGTCTTGAGTACTGCTTTAATCACTAGACCAAACTTAATTTCTGTTAAGCTTTCCTATTGAATCTTGTGCAGCAGTTCTTATCTATGTGATAGCTACTGTTCTAAAAGATAGCGAGCAAAAGAGTAGCAGCCTATTCGTGGTGGGCCTTCAAATCCAGTAATGTTGAAAGTGATTGTTGCTGTATTAGGGAGGAAAAAAAATTCAAAGGCATTTCAGAATATGAAAATGGGTTTATCAGAATGAATGCAAGGTTATATTTGTAAGACCTAGTTAATTATTAATTTAGCATTTCTAATGTAACTTGTCTCTGGAGGAGTCTTTATTTTGTACTCTGTTCTAATTATAATACTTCATTGTTTCTATATTTCTGTGTCCTGTTTCTTCTACTCAGATCACAACATTTGCCTTATATTCATATTTTTAAAAGAAACAATAATACTGGAATAGAGCAATATCCATGGTTATTTTTGTGCTAATAACCCTTGCATCAAAAGCACAGTGCGTGCTTACTCAAAAGATAGCCTCACATTCTTAAGATGGGCTTACTCGCTGTTACATCTGAAATTGGTTAGTTAAAAGCTGCTTGACATCATGCACAGTTTTTATCTATTCTGTCCTCCATAAAGCAAAAGTTGTAGCCTGGACTTTTTTTTTTTATTTAAATTTGTGCTTTGTTTTGAAGGTACACTACAGTAAAATGTTACCTGCTGGGGTTGACTATCCATGCAGTCTTAGCCACTGAGTACACTGGCTAGAGGGTAAGATGCATAGCAGTGAGGTACTATCTTAGGGTTCTGCTAAAACTTTCGCTAGTAGGCTTGTGAAAGTGTGCAATCATGCAATCAGCTGGAAAGATACATGTAAAGTGTCCAAGCTAACAATTAACAGAGGCACGGCTGGGCCAGATGTTCAGAATGAAAAAACACAGCCCGTTGGAAAGTTTACTAATGAGCAAAATGTTTATCTCCCTGTGTACAGTGGAAGGAGTAATTCAGATCAGGTTTATTGTGTCAAAGAATGAACATCAAAAGTGATGACAACATCTCCAGTATATTCTTCAAATTTAAGCTTAACATTTTTATGTTAATGGGGTCTTAAGGATGGCAGTCCTCACAATGGTAATTTGGGATTGGAATTTCCATTGCTAAATGATATCACATGGTCGTAAAGCAGAATGTCACTTGGCTTCATTATTAAGTGAAGGCAATCCTAGCACTCTCCTGTTATTAGCACAGGACCCACCCAGAATTAAGCCTCTCCCAGCCCCAAGCTTTGCTAAAGTAAGGGACTCCCTCCTTTTCAACAGCCCCACCCATTTATCTCTGCCCCATCTGTGCCCTTTTGACTGCCTTGCACTGTGCTAGTGCAAGCCAGCCACCCAGCGTTCATGCTACTGTCCTGCCAGTTATGCACTGACTCACCTACCAGCCCTGATGAGCCCAGTGGACTCTGCCATCTTCCTCCTGCTATTGATGAAGCATGCACGGCTTGGCCCTATGCAGGCAGCTGTTGGCTACCTCTTCTTCCTGAGGCTTGGGAATGGTGGAAATGGGCTGAGGCTGCTGAAGTCCTCAGGCCTCTACTTGAGCCCCGTGCAGCTGCTGCCACCAGAGAGTGCCATTGCTGCCACAAAGGAGCACCACTGTGCCGAGTGTCTGAAAGGGCAGAGATGGGGGAAAGATAGGTGGTTGGCAGGAATTGAAGCACCCTTGCAGTTGTAAATGCAGGCGGGCTGCCAAGTGCCCAAATTTTAATCATGTAGGGACAGTGCAGTGGCCATAACATCAGGGAGCAGCATAAGTACTACTTCATTCAGCACTTAAAACAGACACTGAACGACTAGCAATAGCACTTAGACTTATATACTGCTTTAGAGTGCTTTACAGCTCTCTCTAAGCGGTTTACAGAATCAACATATTGTTCCCAACAATTTGGGTCCTCATTTTATCCACCTCAAAAAAATGGAAGACTGAGTCAACCTTGAGACTGGTGAGACTTGAACTGCCAAATTGCAGGCAGTACTGCACTCTAACCACTGCACCACCATGGCTTATAACTTGAGGACTACATATATGCATAATTATATCCCAACTTTTTATGGTGGAGCTATACTTTCTGTATATGTATCTGATTATTAGCCGACAATGTGAGTTGTGATAGGAAAGATCACAGAAGAGGAAACACTGCCAAACACCGTCCTGCTCCATTCTTCCAGGGGACATTTCTTTTTCAATTTTAATCCCACCCCCTTTTTGAAAATGGAAAAGAACCTTCCATTCACAAAAGGGGCATTCTGGATCCAATTTCATTTATGTGCTTTTATGAATTGGTATCTTAATGAACAATTGTTTATTGAATATACCATACATTCAGACAAAACCAAAAAAAAACATATTGTGATTTAATAGGATGGGGAACCCATCTATGGCTAAGTTGGATAGTTTTGAGATGATTTCTACTCTCAGAACCACCGGTTTTGCACATCAATGTCTTTTTTCCACCAATGGAAACAAAAACTCCCTATTATTTTTTTCTTAATAATTAATATAAAACAGCACTTTAGAAAGTCAAATACATTATCACAGGACACACATCCTCTCAGATCTCATTTTATGACAGGCTGAAAATGATGTGGGTGATTTCAGGTTTATCACTGCTTTTAGTTGCTCCTATATAGCTGATCTGTTATTCTGTTGTTGTTATTAGAGAATGTGAAGATAATTACTTTTAATATAGTAGCTAAATTTTTTAAAGTAGAACTCTAAGTAACAGATCACTGATGATACGACAGAGAAATAAGCATGGGAATTGCCATAAGAATAGAATGGAATGGAATGGAATGGAATGGAATGGAATAGAATAGAATAGAATAGAATAGAATAGAATAGAATAGAATAGAATAGAATAGAATAGAATAGAATAGAATAGTTGGAAGGGGCCTTGGATGTCTTTTAGTCCAACCCCCTGCTTAGGCAGGAAACCCTATTCTATTTTAGACAAATGGTTATCCAATCTCTTCTTTAAAACTTTCAGTTTTAACTTTTAATGATGAGTAATGTTATCTCACGATTTCTTGATTAATAGTTGTCCAGTCAGCTTCATAATAAAGTTTGTGAACACCATTTCCAATTGTGTTTAAGGAGTCTTTGACACCAGACCACCCATGAAATCCAGTGACTTGATACAGCCAATGGCTTTCTTAAGTTGGGCTGTTGCCTTAGATGAAAGGCTTACACATTTTCACTCTAAGTTCAAAAGATGATTATTAGTAGTTACATTCTAGTTTGGCGCCTACCTCTATAGCACTTAACTAAGGTGACCAACGTTTTTACAATGAGAAGGAGGACATAAATAAATTGAAGAAAAAAAACAAAGCCACTTGCACGTGGCGTACTCTTACATGAGGCGCACTCTTGAGCATGGCACACTCTCTCAAAACAATTCTCCTGTGTGGAGCGCATGCATCTCATAATCACGTCTCGATGCACTGTACCGAGCCTTGACGAATCGCCATGTCGAATACAAATACATCACATCATACACAACAGATCAGATCGGCATAGATCAAATAGGGAGATTTACAGATTAGCCTTCAAATATCAAAAAGGAGGACATGTAGGAGGACACTTTTCAAGAGAGGACAGAACTTACAAAAGGAGGACTGTCCTCCCTAAAGGAGGACGGTTGGTCACCTTAACTTAACAATAACTGGTTTTTAAGGAACACAGAGTAGTTCCTTCTTCACTTTCACTATTTGCCTCCTTGGATCTGTTGCCCTTAGATAGCTACTTGCTCTACCTAATGATAGGACCATGACTGCCTATTTTTTAGCTTTGTACATTCATCCAAATGAAGAACAATAATGGTTTAGCAACACTGGAAGATTTCTATTAAGTAAGTCTTCTTATCTTCAAATACTTTTTTGTCATTCACAATTGTTAATTCAGGTTTTTTTTATCATAAACTCAAACTGTTCTTTGTTAGAAACTTGGAAATACATTTCTATAAGAGTAACAAGAACAGTACTGTATAAGTTTTTAAAAAAATCCACACAGGCTCTGAAATTAAGTAGAGACCATCTTTTTAAACCCCTTGCTCTGTAGAGCAAATATGAATTAATATTTTTCCTGTAGAATTTCTTTTAACTCCTTCAGCTGTACACTTCTTGGTCACTTTCCATATAAATTTTATTAACAGGCGACTAAATTTTTGTAGGTGTCTTTAAAGAAGTCAGTCCATTGAGTAGGCCTAATCCCAGTTCACTTAGATTCCTGAGGAAGTATATCAGGGTGATACCCAGGCAAAAAATAAAGCTGATAGCAATAGATTTTTCTTCAATATGTCTACGGTTGAGCTCTGTTGGACGAATCATGCAAGGGTTGAACACATAAACATTTTGAGCAGTCGTCCATAGTTGGGACTTTTCTAGTCTATTGAGACCACTTCCATATTTATTACCAGCTGTTCTTTTTATGAATTCTGTTACTTACAGTCTAGAGAGGAACAGATATCGAAAAGTTGACTTCAAATAATTACTTTGTGCTAACTTCCAGAGGAGGACTGGGTTAATTTGTTTCAGCCTAAAGAATGAAGAGTGCAATTTATGTGATGTAATTATTCTAAACCACTTCTATGCAAAGCCCAGTGGAAAGGCTGAGAAATAGACTTGTCCTCTTATTTTTCACGAGTTCAAAATACTGAAAACAGACCTAAAAAAGTTCCAATTAGCATTCAGAAGTGGAACCTAGATAAGTTACCCAAGAGCCTAAATAGATTATTTTAACGTTAGAATTTTAATGTGTGATTATGAATCAATGCTAATTCTTAACAGTAATCAATTAGATTCCTTTTCGTTTTGGTTTCCCCTCTTTTTTACACTAATAATGCCATGTTTCACAGCAAAGAGTAGATTTCAGAGGAATTTCTTATTCTGTGATTAGCTTATGCAAAGGTCACCTTAATGATTCAGTCTTAATAAAAGCTAACAAGAAAAATGAAATATTTCATAGTAAGCATATTTAGGGGAGGTATTCCCATGATGAATGAGAGATTTCAAGGTTTCTTTTTTTCATTGGTTCATGCTGGAAATAAATTAGTCTGTATCGATAGCATGATTATTATTTTGTATTGAAATCCTGGTTATGTAAAGACTTGCTTGCAACCTTTTTTTTTTGTTGTTGTTGTTAAAAAAGGCAAACAATTTAGGAACAGTAAATGTGACTTGCTATACAACCTTTGTAAATAAACAGAGGTAGCCGGATATGAATCTGGCTCAGCCCAATAACACTGTATTTGTCAGGATATTGTTCTATTTTTCTAAGTTACACAACTCATTTATATTGAAAAAGTTAATTATTATTGCCAGTTCTAGGAAAAACCACAAGCTGTGTGTATCTATTTCTAGGGGGTTATAGGACAATGAACATTAGATTCCCTTCCTCTTATTGATCACAGTAATATTATTAGTTGCTTCTCACTATATCTATTGACTGAATTCTAGAACAACCCTTAAAGAACACCATGACACACATATTTGTTTAGTCTGCTGAACAGGGATTGGACCGCCTGAGAAAAATGTTTTTCAATCCTTGCAACATTAAGACAGAATAAGGAAGGGATGTTGGAGGTCTTGTAGTCCAACTCCCTGTTCAGGTAAGAGACCTTATACCAGTGGTTTTCAACCAGTGGGTCACGACCCCTTTGGGGGTCAAACGACCCTTTCACAGGGGTCGCCTAAGACCATCAGAAAACACATATTTTCAATGGTCTTAGGAACCGAGCCATAATTTTATGGGGTTGGGGTCATCACAACATGAGGAACTGTATTAAAGGGTCACAGCATTAGGAAGGTTGACAACCACTGCCTGATACCATTCTGGACAAATGGCTGTCCAATCTCTTCTTGAAAACCTCCGGTGTTGGAGCAACCACAACCTCTGAAGGCAAAGCGCTCTACAGGTTTACTGTCAGGAAATTTCTCCTTAATTCTTCAGTATTAAAGGCATATAACCTTCATTCTATTTTTTAAAAAATCGTGAGAAGACAGAGCATGAACTTTGAGGTTGTTTATCAACAGTTGGTGGTGTCTGAACAAATATACAAATAGCCAATTTAATGAGAAAGGAATTTGTCTGATTACACAGCAATAATTAAAATACTGTTTGCAGTGAGCCATTTTTACACTTCATAGAGGAAGTTGTAAATTAGTTTAGCATGCTCGTTTGGCTGACATACTTAAGGAGAAGAGGTCTGTGAGACGTGATTATATAAAGATAATCAGATGTTAGAAAACACTGAGTAACATTGGGGATCGGGGCTGCAACTTAACTTTCTAACCTTTTAAAGAACTATGAAAGACTACTTGGTTATACTGGAAGAGCGTTGACTGATTTTTTTACTTGACCTTTGAGAGAAAGATTTAAGAGTAAAAACAAAAGTAGGAGGAACAAACAATTTTTAATTCCCATTCTTACAACCCCACCCTAAATAGGCCATTCTATTGCCAATTTCAGTGCCATATTTTTAAGATACTGGGACTTGAAAATGATATTTGAAAGGCTAGGCTAGGCTAAGATAGGATAGGATAGCATAAGATAAGATAGGGTAGGATAGGATACTTTATTTGGCTACGTGTGATTAAATAGACAAGGAATTTGTCTCCGGTGCATACGCTTTCATCGTACATACAAAACAACAAAGTAATAATAAATCATAATAATGTATCTTATATATCATAATACCAATGTATAATGATTATTTTTGACAGGCCAGCTTATCAAATCAAGTCTTGGTATACCAGTATGCATAAATCCATGCCAGAAAATGACAAGCACACTTGCTAATTTACTCTGAGCAGCAGGAAGACTGTATATATAAAACTGACAAATTTGCAAGATGTAATAAAAATGGAGAGAAGAGTAACATAGTGGTCAATCTTTGAACATATCCCTTTTTTAATTCTCTAAATTATCTGAGCTCCTAAAACCACACTAATTTTCTTCATTTTGTACTGCCACAAGCTCTCGATAAAACACAACTCAAAATACTTGGTGCTCAAGCCAAAACCTTTTCATAGCAGTTTCATTTATGGAAAAAAATTAACCATTATTTGAATAGTAAAATTTTCCTACTTAAATGTTATTAATTTTTGCTACCATTGTATAGCAGAAGTGCCACTCTGTATGTCAGTTTTGGCATGCATTCATCCAGTAAAACCCTGATGAAATGTCTTACCTTATATCTCTATTTCAGCAAAGTATTGTAAGACACATGGTGTTATGGCATCGCCCAAGCAGGCGTAGGTAGAATGTCCCACTTGGTTACTGATTGTTGGACTATTTCTCTTCTTTGATAATCCTGCTGATCCTGAAATTTTACAGTAGTATTTAACTCTTTCTAATACGTTTTTTTCTTGTAGATTGGACGTTCATAATCACCACACTGCTAGCAAGTCTGAACAGCTGTTGTAACCCCTGGATCTACATGCTTTTCACAGGCCATCTTTTCCACGACCTTTTGCACCGGTTCCTTTGTTGTTCTTCACGATACTTAAAAGCTCGGCAAGGATGTGACCTGAGCGTCAGCAAGAAAAGCAATTCATCCACTTTTGTTCTGAGTCTCAAAAGCTCCAGTCAAAGGAGTTTTACCCAGCCATCCACAGCATGAGCTAAAGAGATCCAGCTTTTCTATAGACTATACTAAAATGTTTGGCTACAAATGGCTTTGGGGTCTATCTACTTAAGAAAATGGGGCAAAGTGATATGGGTGCATGTAAGTCTGGGCATAAATATACTGTATGTGTAAAAATGAGTATATGTGTATGTGTAGGGTATTTGTTTATTGATATGTAAGGTAATACAAAGCTGGCTATTGTCTGATTCAGGATAAATAATTTGACCCTTCAAGAACTTGTAAGTTCTATTCCTGTCTGGCCCAGGCAGACAAATTTGTAATATTTGAAGAACACTATATTTTCTATATTTGAGCCAAATAATAGTTCCCATGCAAAACATATAAGGTTTGACCACAATGCCGATGGATTCCACCTACAAATTGAGCAACAGATTACACTTACAAATAACAGGAATAAGAAGAAAATATTGTCTGCTATTGTAAAGGCAATAGAGTATAAGTCAAATGAATATGGTGGAGTCTTCTAAGTCAAACAACACATGGAGTAGAAAGAATTTGTTACTTCTTAGACTGATCTTTCAATCCAGGACAAGCAATTCAAGTCTTTAAACACCCCATCATTACCTGAACTTGCAGTTATGTGATGACTGCTCATGGAGAAACATTGGGGGAGCCCAACATGATACCGGAAACTACATTTGAGGAGGAAACAATAACTCCTGAAATGGAAGTTGACTTTTATAGATATTCCATGGTTTTTTTCTAGTGGCATCATTCATTTTTTTTCAGCAACACTCCACTGTAAAATGTCAGCCCTTCACGACTGTCAGCATAACACTGTGTATCGCTTATTAACTGTTGACAAATCTAACACGGCAAAGTTTATAGAGAATGCAGACAGTGCTTTGTAAGAAGAATACCAGCTAACCCATCATTACCAGATGCCTCTTGCAAAATCTAACCAGAAGGGGGATGTTGGAAGGCAGTTTTAAGGCACACTTTTAACTTGCAGTAGACAACAATGACACCCATCACTGCCCTTGTCAATAACTGATACATTCTATAGCATGACCCAAAATCCCTTCCACTTTCAGAAAACATTGAGGTTTTTTTAATGTGATAAGCAATATTCCTGCAAGAGATCAATGAACATCAAAAAGTATCAGATGTTTAACCTGGACAAAAAGAAAAGTAATAGCATGGAAAACTGTCAGGTTTGAACAAATATCACAGAGAAAATGGAGCAGATTTATATTCTGTGGTTCAAAAAGTCAGAACTACCAAGAATGGGTGGGAATGCCATTTTTGGCTAGGCATCAAGAAAAACTTCCTAATGTTATGACAGTGGAATAAATTATCTCTGGATATGTTGAACATTGAATTACTTCAATTATCTCTGAAAATATTTAAGCAGAGAGGCTCTAGATGTATCTCCTTTCAGCAGCGATGTATATAGATAAACTTTGGAGTTCCTTGCAGCTCCAAAATATGACAATTTTATAAATTATTGAAGTAAGGTGTTACTCAATTTTTAATGCAGTCATAAAATATTTGGACAATATTTAGAGACTACATGAGCATCCATCAAAATCTGCAAGTTGAAATTGTTATTCTAGATATTTTCCATTGATATAGTTCTGCTCTTGATTCTACTGCATGTATTATTGGCTAAATATTTTCTGGGGATGAATTTGGGGCTGTTTTATCTGCATTCCACAGATTTTGCCTTTTTAATTGTAAAATGATCCCAAAGGATAATATAAGGGAGACTTTTAAAAATTGTTATGTTGACAGCTCTACAATAAATGTACAATACAGATAGATAGTCCTTGTTTAACAACATCAGTTAGGACTGGAATTGCCACCGCTAAGCAATACGGTCTGCAGGGTGATGTGACTGTGCCACATAGCAACAGCAGTTCTGAGAGTTCTGGTGGTGATTGTTAAGTGATGACCACACAGATCATTAAGCAAGGACCTCATGTAATTGTGACTTCCAACTTCCTGTCAGCTTCCCCATTGACTTTGAGGGAAGCCAGCAGGGAACATTGGAAATTATGATCACATGATTGTGGCTTGCTTAACTTTGTAATTCCAAGACAGACACCAAGTGTTCAGATCACAGTTAGGTGACAGTAAGGATGCTGTGATGGCTGGAACTGATGGCATATTGTGGTATGCTAGAAGCTAAAGCTCACATGTTCCCAGTATGTCTAAGCCCTGGTAACAACTGATTTCCTTAAGTTCATGAATTGGACCAGTTGAATGATAGTTTTGTTGACTTTTCAGAAGATGTATCAGTGAGACCTTTGCATTTTTTAAAGGATTATCCAGAAAAATCTACATATGTAACACAAGTAACTTCATTTACTATAGACTAATAGTAGTAAAATAGTTCTCAGACCTTTTGTTATATATCCACAAAACCCCCTGGAAAATATGCCATTCAGAATTTAGACACTTGATTTTAAGGAGGTAAAAAAGTTGGCCAACTGAAAGCTGTGAGATGGACCCTAAGAAATAGAAGCAGAAAGAAGCTAGCAGAGTGATTGATGTTTTCCATCAGAAGCTCCCTGTAGCACCCTAACAGAGGTTATGGAATAGGAATGGAGAGACCTGGTTCGAATTCACCCTCCAATACAAATGTCCCCTAACGGGTCAGTCATATCTCAGCCTCATATTTGTGTCTAACATCTATTTTACAAGGTTGGAGGGAATAATGCATGTGAGTGGATTTCTGTTGGGAAGGGAAGTTGTCCTGCTTCAGGCAGAGGGAACTTCATCCCATTCATGCTGTCCAAGAATCCCACCCTTCAGAGAAGTCATTATGTCATGAAGAAGGAGACAGTGAGAAGAGGACCTTACTTTCTGCAAACTTCCTTTTGCTCAAAGTTCTCAGGAGCCAAGCCCTTGTCTAAAAAAATATTTGCCATCTTCACTGACTTTACTGTAAGATGACTGATTTAATACTAGGTATGGACTGTATGTTCCTTGCTGTTTAATTCAATCTGGCATTTTTCCTGGAAAATGTTTATTTAAAAAAATACATTTGAGTAAGTAATTATGTCTTTTAAAGAGAAAAAAATCACAAATAAAAGATACAAATGGGACCCAAGAGAAAAGAAAGATAAACTGTATTATACAAGTAACTATATATATATATATATATAAACTCTAAATAAATGTAAAAGTATCATACCGCCAAGGTTACTTTGTGCTGTGGGTTTCTACAGAAGCACTCGCTTTGCATTTCTTGTGTCATTTGATCAAAGATATTTCCAGATTTTCTTCCTGCTGTGGTTAAATCTGGCCACAATAAAAAGAGAGGTGTTGGAAAGAGGAAGAATGGGAAGGAGACCAATGAAGAAATGTGGCAGAAGAAAAAAAATTTACATATAAGTTTAAAGTTTTCTGGGCAATGTTTTATTAACACAAAAGTTAGTAGACGTATTTACTGTCCTGATAATGTAGGTGCAAATTACAACCAAACATTAATAGTTTTGTCTGGGTGACATTTGTTTATAAATAGATCAATAAATAACTTATTTAGTTGACATTTTATCCAAAGCACTCCCAAAGTGGAGTTTTGATGTCTACAGATAAGAATAATTTCTATCACTATTGAGTAAAGCCAATAAGATTATGGAGCTTTTAGTGATGAGACTTTCAAGAAGAGATTGGACTGCCATTTGTCAGAAATGGTGTAGGGTCTCCTGCTGGGGACTAGATGGCCTAAGATTAACTCTGTTAATCTGTTAAATCTGTTAACCATAATCATGATCTATAATACTAAAGACTACTCAATGCCTTTCCAATAGGTAAAAGGAATTACAACAGCTGGTACACACCATGGGGCAGAAAAAGTACATTGAATGTCCACCTCAGAATATCAGAATAGTAAGAATCTAAGCCTGTCCTAGAAGGTAAACTAAGTTCACACATTTTCATAAACCATAATTCAATATAATACTTTAACTATAATGGCTGTATCAATCATTTTACAAATCAGAATGTCTGTGTTCATACATTTGACTTTGTCAAACCAAATTTACATGTATTTATTTATTAATTAAAGTTATATACTGCCCATCTTGCCTAAAAGCAACTTTAGGCAGCTTACAATCAATAAAAAACAAGACAAATCATTAAAACATTAAAATAATACATATGAACCCTAAACCTGAGTTAAAAATTAACCAAGATAGCAAAGAGGATGCACATAGGGAGGAGGTGGGTTCTTAGTCCATTAACCACATCTAGAATCACACCCACACCCACACCCATCGGGGTCCCAGACCAATTGGCAGAGCTAGGTCTTCAGGCCTATTTGGAAGGCCAAAACAGAGAGTATGGATCTTACTGGGGGGAAGGGGTTGATGTTTTAGAGGATGGAGCCATAGCAGAAAAGGCTCTTCTGCAGTCTGCCAACAGGATTTCCTCAACCAATGGTGTTCAAAACATTCCCTTTCTGACACTGAGGCAGGCCAATTTCATTAGGTGAGACAGTTCCTCAGATAACCTGGAGCCATAACAAGAAGGGCTTTAAAAGTAAGAACCAACATCTTGAATTGGACCTGGAAGCAAACTGGCTACCAGCGCAGCTTGCAGAACAGCAGTGTAACATGGGCCACCTTTGCAGCCCCAAGAACTGTCTGTGTGGCTGCATTCTGTGCCAGCTGTAGCTTCCAAATATTCTTCAAGGGTAGACCCATGGTGTCATGCCTGTCAAAATCTGATTCGGAGGAGGAAGCTGAACAGCTGACGGAGTGGGAGTGTGACTCTATTGGCTGTGGAAAAAAATGGGGAAGGGCAAAGTCCGGCTGGGCAGAGCAGAAGAGAGGTAGAGCAAGGGAGAGGGAATTCAGAAGAAGACCCAGACCTAACCCTTCTTTATCCTAGGGCACGTGGGGAGGAATGGAGAAGGGAGCAACATGAGTTGGGTAGCTTATGGGGGAGGAAAGGGCCCTGTTTCCCTTCATTAGCTACAGCTGTTTAAAAAGGGAAGCTGCGTGCCGCAAACTGTTGGGAGCAAATGGTAAATTTTTCTGGTATCGTCGAGTCTTATCTGTGTTCTTGGCATCTTCCCAACTGTGTGTTTTGCTGTACTTTCAAGTCTGCAATTCCTTCTCCTGCCTTGTCAAGTTAATTACTGCAGCATGGTTTGTTTGTATTTTTAGTTAAAGTTTGTACGTACTTTGTTTTTGGGCTGAATTTTCTCCAATTAAAGGCTGTTCCTGGGAGAGTTTTTCTCCAGCCACCTGGACACTGGGGGCAAAGTTGGAGATAATAAAGGGACTCCCCTTGCTTATTTAACTGTGTTGCCTTTGTGCCACGCCCCGGGTCATCACACATGGGTTGCAATAGACTTGAGTGTCAGAACGCAGAGACTCCTGATCCAGGAACTATTGATTGATTGATTATGTGCTGTCAAGTCATTTTTTAGTCCTAGTGACCACATACAATAGACGGGTTCTCTCCATGAACTCCATGAACTATATTACTAGATTAATAGTATATATGTTAATATATTGCATACTATATTCCTATATAGCCAATATATGAAAAAACCCTTCTTATCCTTATATATGATATGTGTTCACAATCTGCTCATTTACTGACCCATATGGTCCTGTAGCTATGAGGCCTGATAGGACTTTCTGTGTTGTGGGAAGGGCAAGTATTGGATGGCACTGCTCCCTTGTAGAGGTCTTCATGATCAGCACTATTCTTCTTTCTGTTAGCCGGTCTGGGTGAGAGCCTGCTGCTAGCCGCTGATCCATTTGTGCTAGTAGGCATTCAAGCACTGTTGTTAGTTTCTTTAGCCAATAGGCATGGATAATGTTTGGGCCAGATGCTGTCCTGCTCTTCGTGTTCTTGACCAACTGTTGGATACCTGCTGCTGTGATGGTGACAGGTTCCTGTTTTGGAAAATGGCTGTGGTCTGCTCTCCAATCCTGCAGCCACTTTGCATCATATTACGTGTGTCTCTCCTCTTTCTCCCATATGTAGAGAACCAGGAATTGATTATTGAACTATATTACAACTTAAAGAAAAGTGTAAATCTAGCTATTGAGATATGTGCCTTTGTTTACAGTCTGCATTTGTAGCACAGGCTTAAGAATATTGGATTCTTTGCGAATGA